TCGGGATACGCCCAGAGTCACGGAACGGATTAAGTTCGTATCCCGAGGTATCACTGTATCTCTTTATGGTAAGGGCACAAAAGGCTAGTCCTCCAACTGGGCACCCCAGGAGAAGAAAGTTTCTAAACCTATCATAGCCTGTTTAATAAAGTCCTTCACATTGTAGGTTTTTATCAGCTTTAGAAAGAAGTAACTCAAATCCTGTCAGTAATCATTTGTCATATCCTCTTTCTCCTTTCTTATTGGAATGGCCATACTTTGCCCTCAGTTTCCACAGTGTCTTTAAAGCAAATAAGGTACACTCCTTCCAGCAATAAGAAGAAATATTCAAGTTAAGAGCCAGCATTGCTCTGAGATGATGGATACAATACAGAAAATTTTCTTTCAACCAGTGTAAATGTTGTATAGATGGTGGCTAACAGGAGGTCCTTCCTGTTCTCCAGGTGGCTGCTACCTTAACTTTGCCCTTTGATGTTGTAAAGACCCAGCGACAGATTGAGCTAGGAAACATGGAGTCACTCCAAGGTAAGAAGTAAGCAGGGGCCAAGTATAGTAGGTAGCTGTCCAACGGTAGATAGCTCCTTTGTCTATGTTTGAGTTAATAGTGGTATTAGCAATTTACAATTGTTAGAGCAGAAAAGGATTGAATTTAAAAGTAATAAAGAGAGAAAGTAGATAGAATGGTGAATTAAAGAGGCAGTCCTAGTTCACTGGCAAGAAAGATCAGCTTCGAACCAAAAGAACTTACAAATGCTCTTATTCACATGGGAAAAACTGCAGGTAAGAACCAATCAGAGCCCGAGTTTGATTTTTCACTGTTGTCTTCTTGGCCAGGTGAGTAATTTCCAAAAGGATTACTATTTCTGGACCAGAAGGTACACAGTTTCTTAATCCACAGAGTTTGCCTGAAATTATGCCTCTCACAGACTCCAGTTATGTTTCCCTAAAGCAGTGTTTCTCAACCCTGGGAACTTTAAGATATGTGGACTTCAACACCCAGAATTCCCCAGCCAGTATGTTCCTGGTTCCCAAGGTTGAGAAACACTGCCCTAAAGTATTTGCACTATGTATCATAGCATGTAGTAGGAGAAACATTCCAGCAACTATTTGGTGAGTTGGAAAGAAAGATGTCCTTCTATACATGCCCCATATAGATACCCTTTTTTGTAATTTGAGGGGATAGTTGCATGATTAATGCTATCAAATTACAATACACACTGTGTAGGGAGCATTGGTAGAGAGGACAGACTTTTCCAAAAGAAACAAAACAGTTCTCTGGTATAGCCCCCCCTACACACACATATGTACTCACATGTACGTGCCCATTAGCCTAACAAGTAGAACTCATATATGAACATGGGCTTGCAAATATGAAAATGTAATATAAGAATCGGTATGGCTATTTATTTAATCATTTGAATGTTTAAGAATGTATATGACCTCCCAATTTGAATGTTGCAACTCTGGGCAGCATACAATTCATCAAAGAAACAAAACAAAATAAATAGTTTCAATTAAAATCCAGACCATTAATGGGGAACCAGGAACTCACACTCACATCCCTGTCCAGGGAAACTCCATTCATCCTGGTTCCAAAGCCTGAGGAAAAAGCCAGATTTTTACTGTCTTCCTGAAGGCCAACAGTGTTGGGGCCAGCTGTATCTCCAGGGAGGCGCAGATCATTGCAGAGAACAAGCTGTGGTCTGATTTGTGACATAAAATTCCTGACAAAAGGAAACATTGGGTGGGGAAGTCTCAAACCTTTTCCATCACCTCTTTTGTAACAGCGCTTTGCAAGCTTACTGGATATATGTCCTATTCAATCCAGTAGAATTCCTTCTTACATTGGATTACATAGGATTGAATCAGTGTACTGGAAATGGCCATTGATACATAAATTATTGCCAGTATGGGAATTTTTATTATCAGCTTGTTTGAAGTGAAATAATTGGGAGATAGATTTTAAATAACTTGTTCTTTTCTTCTTGCTCAGTTACCACTTCCAAATCCTCATCAACTTGGCTACTTATGCAAAAGATTCGGGCAGAATCTGGCACCCGCGGGCTCTTTACAGGTGAAGTTACTGTTATCTACTTTTATGCTGAGAGCTTCTAGTTAAAATCTTTACTTTAACCTTTGGGCAACATGGGTTTGATAGCGGTGGAAATTATGGCTGCCTATAACCTTGTACTCCTAAACACTTCTATAATAACCAAAACATTGTTGTTTTGCTTCTTGCTTTTGACAGCGTTAATGTGGTTTGTGTGATGTCAGTGGGGTCTGACAACTGAATTTAGAAGAAGATAAACATTGGTTTGCTTCTCTTCAGCTGTCGTTGCCAGACTAGACAATTGGCACTATAGAATTCCCTTTACCCATGTAGATCAGGAAGAGTGGTGAGGGGGGAAGCACCAATCAACTAGAACCTGAAGCTTCAGCTTACTATATCAGCAAAAAGGCAGGATAGCTCTGCACTTTGCAAGACATATTTACTTGTTCTCTTTCTCCCTCCCCTGCACTTTCCTGCCAAAATCCCTGTAGGTTTTCTGCCTCGTGTTATCAAGGTGGCTCCAGCCTGCGCTATTATGATCAGCACGTATGAATTTGGCAAGACCTTCTTCCAGAAAATGAACCAGGAACGGCAGTTAAGCAGTCTATGAAGTCTATAGGCAGAGCCTTGGATGATAGCCTCCAGATGGACCAAAGAAACGCTGATGGCAAGAGAAAGGACAGATTCTGATAGATACGAAAAAGGAAAACCCAGTTTGTGAACTGGGTTAAATAAATGTGGATCCAGCTGTGAATAATATTAATCAAGGTTGAGAAGATCACATAACCAATAAATCTCTTGCTTGCTTTCCTTATAGGACTTCTCACTCATCAGGCAAATTCCAGTGCCTTTTAGCTAGCTTCTGGTCTCCTGTCTTCCTGTTTTTTCCTGATGGACAATTTGGGGATTTAAGCCTCTTAGCTACACACACTCTCCTCTTTAGGTACTGTCAAGATTGGATGCTATAACTTTTGGGTGTCATTTGAAGAGGCAAAGCTCCAGCACATCTTAAGTTAAAACCAATTGCATAGTATGATCCTGGAGTGTTGGGATCATTGGCCAGCTACAGAAGGAAAAAGTAAGAAAGGGGAGGAAACAGCCTAGCATTGCCATTCCCACTGCTTCATTACTATTATTATTTTTGGTAGGCCTTCAGAGAGTAAACGTTGCAGTAGACAGCAGATGTTTCCATCCCTGTCTTAATTCTCAAAGTGTCTGTTGGCCTGCGTGCTTGTTCTTTCTTCACCTGATTTTTCCTGTGCATGATGAATATAGCTGGCTGAAGTTGCAATCCTACGCTGGACTTTGACAGCTTTGAATAGAAACACTGGTTTTGAACACTCAGGATTTTCCCAGCTCTTCCCTTCACATCACCATGGACAGCTTGAACTCTGAAATCTTCATACTGAGTAGCATGGATGAAAATGAATTAGACTCTGCTTGGGTTCCCACCCTCTGGTTCAATATTTGCTACACTGAAGGAGAACTGAGAATAGCAGGCCAAGGTTTGCTTTGATGCCAGATACCTTATGTAGCACCTTTAGCCATTGATAGTCTTGCCCCTTCTGTGCTGTTAACGTATGTGCCTGTTGCTTACATATTTGTGGAGGGGGAGAAGCTGGGCTTTTATTTCTTGAATAAAGTCACCTTTTTTTTTTTTTTAGCAAAACCACAGTATACATTATTTGACTGTTGATAACGTCTTCCTGTTGAGTTTTTCTTCCCTTGGATGCCCATCAGGTACCCTTATGTTTTATTAAAAAACCCAAGCCATTGCTTTTTAGACCTCAGAGATCTTCTGAACATGCTGTCAGAATTCAGGAACAACACTGAAGAGCATGATTTTCTGCTGTTATTGTCTGAAATCAGAATGAGATCCTAAAAAAAAAAAAAAAGACAGATGAGAAATTTAAAGAACAAAACACAATGGTGGAATTGATGTATGAACACAGTAGAGCTACCAATAGTTTGAATGGATATAAAGGTATAGTGAATAGTATTGGTGCAGATCAGATTTAATGAGAATACCCTACTTTATTTCCGGCATTTAATTTCTTTTGCTTAATTTTTCTTAATACTTTTCTATGCTTCCTTACCCCAAAAGGAAATAGCATGATGGGTAAGTTATTTCAAAAATCAGGGAATGGTCATCCAGCCCAGTTCAGTGATGATAAAACCTTGTTCCTTGTAGTCCATAGGACCCAAAAATGATACACACACCACCATGTGGCCCCTGGAACAAAACAAAAAAAAATCCATCCCTAGTTTAAGGTCTTACATAATAATCTTTAATAATCTTACCTAGTGAGAACTCCCATGATTAGAGGAGTGCATTTGCTTCCTGAATAAAACATTGAGTGTTTCTGATTTTGGCTTTCACTGTGACAGGCTGTTTCATCAGATTAGCCCATGAATATAATTTATTGTACGAACAAAGACAGGAAACTTTGTCTCAATGGTTGGGTTTGCAAAACATGGTAGACTAGGCTAATTTGGAGTTTGCTTCAGTGTATTATGTAAACTCAGCTCTTGTGCCAGTATGTTGGTTAAACCAGGCCCTAAATAAGTTCTAATATGATTTGTTTTATCATATGTGAGCGTGAGAATTGTGCTTTAATTCATGGTTAGGCTATTACGTGCATGTAGATCATACAACGTTTCAATATCAGCAGTAAATCGTTAAGCCTTTAATAGCTTTGTTTCAGCAAGCTGAAATACGACCTTCCTTGTCACCACCTCCTTTTAGCTGTTAAAATTCTGAGCGGGCTCAAATACAAGAGTTCTGGCACATGAGGCTAGTAGATGGAACCTCCGGCAAGACAGGAATGCCAAGAAAAGCATAGAACAGCATTATTAATATATTAGAAGGTAAAAGAGAATAAGTGAATGGAATATGTAAATAAGATGTGTGAAGATGTGAAGTATGTAGTTGATAAGGAAGATGTTATTTTAAATGTATCTAACTTTTTGTTGCTTGTATAGTTCATATTTCCAGATGGCAAAATCAGAATCTGATGGTGGATTATTTGGGACATGGTACAAAACATCCCTTTTCACTTCTGTATGACTTCCTCTGCTCTTAAATGTTTTAATGACTTCTCCCCTCTGAGTAAGCAGAGCACTACTGCTGGGACATGGAAATTTCAGTCCTGGGTTTGAGAGCTAGTGGTGTACGTTGGCTAAGACCAAAAGATTCCCAACCTGTGGTCCTCAAAAGTACAGAAGATGGTCCCTAGTATGAGTTGAATTTATTTTAACAGCCAAAGACACCATGCATGGGGAAGTCGGATATGACATGGTGACCACAGGTGCTACATTGCTGCCCTGGCCTATGTAGAGTTCCTCAAAAGATTTACATAATCTAGTACTGGGAAATGCTGGGCTGGGGTAAGGCTCTCTTAAATATCCTTGGCAGCAAACCTATTGAGTTTCATGCATCCACCATTGGCTTATCAATTGGTCTTGAGCAATTCCCCATTCTTCCTTCAGCCATATGCAATTAATGGCTTATGAGAAAATGTATGGATGCTAAAATAGTGTTTGTCTGGTTTAGTCAACCCAGTTTTCTAAGCTCACGTGACACGCTGAAACATAACTAAGATGGGCTGGGTCTGCAATGCTCATAAGCACAGCCAGTGTATCTGTCAGCACTCTAAATAGGAGAAATGTGAATTCCCTCACCACCCACACAGACATACCAAATGTTTTTAGCTGTGGTTCTGGAATGTTGACAATACTGTCATTATTGCAAGGTTCTGGGAAGAAGCCCTCCCCTTTGTGTTACATACAACCACTGAGACGTGTTTACTTGGAGGGAAGAATGGGAAAACTAAGTGGCTTGTCCCATTCTTGATACAGTTGATTACTGTAGAAGTGGTTAGTGACTGCAGAATTAAAAGCTGGCCTGAACATGTTATCAGAAAATAAACATCAGTAAGCATTGTCTGCCAGCTCCTTAATTTGATTTAATGTCTATTTATTCTAACAATCTCCCCAGGTGGTGCCAGTCAGTTTCTCAGCTGTGGTCAGTGATGATCTTGACTTATCCTGGAGTACATTCTTAAGCTTGCCTTGCTGCATCAGAACTATGGCACAGATCAAAAGCCAAGGTACAATTATTGGTTCTCCTTCAGCTTCCAAGGCTGTTTCTGTTCCCATAGCAGAAAGTTCCAATGGGATAGCAACATGCAGGAGAAACATGTAGGAAGCAGGCTCATTCAAGAGTATGGCAGGACCAAGGAAGACAAAAAATGATTCCTGTGCTGCAAAGATGTCCAGGAACCCGAAGCTGCCTTGAACCCCCTTTTTGTAGCATGATTAACCAAAACAGGTGCTGCAGTTATCTTTGAAGCGTGGTGGTGGGATTAAGATGGGTAACAAATTACCTCCCTCCCCACAATTAAGTCTTAAAATGCTGTTGTCAGGAACACAACCACAGGGCATTCTCTTCAGTTGAAAGGGGATGGACACAGCCAGGCAACTTCCCTGTCCATTGTGCAAGTCTTCATGTTGAACAATGTGCAGCAAATTCCAACCTGTACAGGTACTACTTTCTTTCTGCCTCCAGCAATAGACAGTCAGAGGACTTTTTCTTAAATGTTGTTTTGCAGAGGCAGCCACCTTTTGGCAATCTCAATCATATATATGTTACATATAATACACGCAGCATCGTGTTACAAAAGCGCTTGTGGTAGGCAATCCTTCCAGCTTCTGACAAGTGGGCAGCCTTTCTTTTGTTTTCTTTCTCTGCTCCCAATTTAAGAAAGTCTGGGTTTCTAAGAGAGTTTTGTTGAGGAAGCAGGCATATTGCCCTTTTGCATCAAGCTGGACAAACAGCTCAGTTGCCCTCCCCACCTACTGAAACCAAGCCAAGAGGGCTTGATTCAAGATGTCTTGCCCACCCAAAATCTTTGCTCCTCCATAGGCATCTTTGAGGTTCGTGAGAACAGCCTGCTGCTGCCTCAGCTAGGGCTATGAGCAGGGCTGGGCTCAGTGCTGTCGCTCACCAGACACTCGTTGGATTTTAGGCTAGCTAAAGACTTGCAGCTAGGCAAGGAGGCCAAGGACCCACAGAGGCCCAACATTGATGGAGTTGGGTCCTTTCCTGTAGAGAGAGGAAGAGAGGGCAGGCTTTAGAATGAGTGACATGGCTGGCCCACACTCCAACAAGCCCGACAGCAACTAAATTTTTCCCTGTGTGTTGAATTTCTACTTTGCCATACAAAAGAATCTCTTGACAACTTTTGAAGTGGCTGGGGCTGCACACGGCATCTGCTGCAATTGAAGGAGGCTCTAAGCAGGCACTTAAAAGTTCGTCAACTTTATTGAAACTCATTAAAAACTTAGAGCTTAATCTAATAAGCAGCAGTCATAACTAGAAAAATTAATTGCATATTTGTTTTAGAGAGATAAAGAAGGAAGACTGGCATTGTATAAGATGGATGTCCCTGTTCCTTGAATTAGTATCCCTAAAAAAGAGAAGTCTGGGAATACAGAACAGGATTATGTTCCTGCAAAGAAGCCATTCTTTTGTATGAGTTACTGCCATGAACGTGCCCCTTGATTGGGAAAAAACAAATTCAAGAGGACAAAATGCACACAATGGCAGATAATTTCTGGTTCATCTTGGCCTCATTTTTGAAATTATTAAATATTAAATCCAATATTTTCTCCCAACTATCAAACTTAGAAGGTTTCTAATGTCTTGATAGTTCAAATAATAAAAATTATTGTTTTAAGCAAACATAAGAAGCCATTGAATTCTAATATATTCAGGGTAGTTTGGATGGAATTACAATGATACATATTGGAAGGTCAACTGGAAGGAGGCAGGCCTGGAGGGAAATGGAACTGCAAACAGGCTATTTTGCTATATTTCTAGATGTGAAGTCAGTGAAAGCTCTGTGGGCAGTGTTTAACAGGAAATAAATGCTTTGAGGGGGACCCCACTGACAGTTATTAACTATTGGAATTATTTCTTTCTTGTGACATAACTGTTTTGCATACATTATCCAGAAAACAGGTTTAGGAAGAGTGATTTCATAGTCTCATAGAGAGCTCTATTTGAGCTAAGACCAATAATCTGTTTCCTGTGTAAGACATTTGCCCTGGAAAAGATGAATTATGGGACTCTAAAAATTTGCAGAGAGCATTTTCCCTGTGGGAGCCAGCATTCAGAAGGGGGAAGAAAATAATGTGAAGGGCAAAAGGTATGACAAGACCTGGAACTTCTTGTTTCCTAAAGTTAGCTCTTTTGGGGTTAACGAATGCTAAACCACAGATTGTTAAGCAAGACAATGTGGTTGGGTTCAGAAAATATTAAGCCAAATGAAATGACACAATAGCTTTAGGTGATGTACAAATCCAATCACAGATATTTCCCAAGACTGCAAACTCTTACCCAGTGGCCCCCAAGGTTCCCCTTCATGTTTCCCTTCACCCATCCTTTGTGAATCAGAACTCAAACTTATCTCTGTTGAGAGCTGATCTGTGCTCATGAAGCTGTGCCTGGAAAAAAAGAAAAAGAGAATTAGGAGACATCCCTGAACTTAATTCCCAGAATGCATAAATTTTCAGTGTGATACCCTGATGACTACTCTGTTGGCATCTGCCAGCTCCTCTGTCCTACCTAACTTCATTTTTTTTTTTAAATTATCTAATTCAAAAAAAAAATAGGATGCTATAAAACAAAACATCGACCTCAAACACAATATGTTTTTCCATCAATGCCTCTGGACTCTACAGAGACCAAGAGGCGTTTCTAAAGGATAGAAATAGTGGGTGGCTGCAAACCACTGCTTTGTTTGGAAGTGTGACCCTCTGTCCAGAAAAAAGGATAAAGCACAGGTGAAAGGCAGATAGCAACTGGAAGGAGAGAAAAGCCTCTTCACTTTGATTTTTAGTGACAGGTCCTTTATGATTGGCCTTGATTGTGCCCATCGCATGAGCCATTTTTTGAAGGTGCCCATAACTTGGTCTCATAATTCCAAATGCATCCCTGGCAAGCCTTGATATGGAAAGACTTGAGCGGGCTGGCCAGAAAAATATCCCACAACTGTATAATTCTGACATGTACAGAAGGTTGTTTTCTGCACATCTTAAGATAAGGCAACCGATCTAGCTACTGAAGCCAGATAGCCTGTTCTTGAGGCAAGGTCAACTTCCAGTAACTACTTTTTAGCAACAAGACAGCAATGGTTTGCCATTGCCTCGCTCCAGCATGTTTTTTTCTTCCCCATTTAGTATACAACCCTGAGATTTCCAGATGGTTTCCCATCCAAATATTAATTAAGCTCAAACTTGCTTAGTTTTTTTTTTTTTTAGTTCAGATGAGGTTGGCTAGGTTCCGCCATCTGCTGTGAATATTCTTTAAATACCCTTTATTATTATTCTTCATAGAGTCACCTTCCTTTGCTCAGCCAATTCTAATACTGAGTGGTTACTAAATTTTGGCAATGTGGAATAATTCAAATTAACCTGCCAAATATAAAGTCAGGGAAGCAAACGGGCTTTGTGCTTTTGTAGCATCTATGGATGGTATAGATGTGAACTTTTCTGCCCGTTTCCTCATGTAGTAGGACTGCCAGAGGGAACCTATTTCCACGGATAAAATGTTTCCTAGATAATAAGGACACTCTCTAAAATTAAGTGGTGGTTTTTAATTCTTTTCCAAGAATGTCAATGTTTAATGCTTTCATTCTGTAAAAAGAACCCATTTTCTACTTGCGTTTAAAAACAGACTGGCTGTTTTAGCTAGAAGAGTTGAAACCAGAAAAAGTCAGAATGGACTTATTATGGGTCAGTTGTGTTTAAGTTGACTTAGACTGAGGAAAAACAGAATTAGACATGGAACAAGGATAGACAATATTTTAGTGGAAAGATGCTATGTAGTATTGGTATATGGAGGGCTGTGATAAGTGAATCAATGATGAAACCTGAGATTGCATCACTTAGGTAGTGGGGGATGCAGTTTTGTTTTTCCCTGATTTGGGGGAGAGATGAAATTATTTTCTATGATTTTTAAACTTACTGAAAAGTGTAAAGCTTTTGCTATATTTTTTCAAGAACTTCTTGCCTTGAAATGGAAGAAACACGCACCACAGATTTCCAGCAACTGTGCTGAGGGATGCTAGAGATCTTAGAGAAAAGGTACATCTTTTAAACACACACTGACCTCCTGAATATCTTGGCTTCTGCATGACTTTCATTACCGTTCAGAGTACCCAAAGAGGGCCACTGGTTCACCAAGGGTGCAGCCATCTCCTTGGAGAGTTGGGTAAACTGACTGTTGTCTGAAGGGATGAGGCCCGTCCTGGGGGCAGAGCAGGAGGAGGGAAATCTGATCAAGGAGGAGGGAATGCAACCTGTCAGCTCAAGGCAAGGAACCAGAGAACAGCACTGTGTCCATCCTCCCACTGAATTCAGGATCCAGTTTTAATCAAATTTAAGAAACCCTAGACCCAGTCTCATAGGACAAGGGGAAGTTGATTCCACCTGGGCCTGCTTATTACTGGCAAGGAGAGTACAAGAGGTTGGATCCTACTTACAGCTGCTCTTGCAGTTCCAGGATGACCCCTTCCAGCTCTCGTTTCTCTAACTGATTCTGCACCTTCACCTCTTCCAGCCTTAACTTCAGGCGTTTGTTCTCGGCCTCCAGATCCTTGAGTTGTGACTCTCTCAGCCGAACTAGCTCCTCTAGATAGCCCTGGGACACAGCAAATGAGGGGGAAAGGAGAAAAATTAATTTCTATGGAGGAGTAAAGTGAAATTGACAAAAAATATTACCCTGGAAAAACTTATCCAATAAGCAAGAATAAAAAAGTGACCATTGTCCATGAACTGCTAAACTTTTTTTTTAAGACTACTGATTTAATGACCTTCAAAAATTGTATCAGGATTAAAATCTCCAGCATACCAAAACTAGCAGTGGTAAATCAATAAAATAAACCAGCATGGTGCTAAAGATCTTAGTAGGTATAAGCAGGTCTTTAAAAAGCAGGTAAAGCCAAAAGATTGCACCAAAAGATATATTTCTACACCAGACCATCCTCCTTGGAAAGGGCCTTCCAAAGTTGAGGTGGCCACAATGCAGAAGACATATTACCAGTTCCCAGTTGTGTTTTTGCAAAGGGAAGCATAAACAAGGACTTCTGAGAGATTTCCTTAGCATCTAACCCAAAGTCACGTGAGGCTTTAGGACCACAGCAGGAGCTACTGCAATTATTTAAAACCTGGCAAAAAGTATTTTGTGGGCTTCATTTATAATCAATAGCTTAGCCTTGCCCAACCTGTTGTCCCTTAGATGCATTCCCTGGGAATTCAGAGAGTTATAGACCCAACACATTTGGAGAGCACCAAGGGAAGGAAGATAATGGAAATTTGATCATTCTCACCTGTACTTTGACCTCCTTGCAAGCTGTTGGGGCGGGGGGGGGCAGGCAATACAGCCTGCTTCCCTTTTAGCTACAGGCTGGGTTCACATAACATACTGAACCACAGACTAGCCAAACAGCATAGTCTAATGTAATGTTTCTCAATCTCACCAACTTGGTATGTGGACTTCAACTCTCAGAATTCCCCACCCGACTGAAATCTTTGAGAAATCCTGGAGCACAGGGGAAGTGCCAGAAGACTGGAGAAGAGCCGATGTTATTCCAATATTTTAAACGGGAAAAGTGGACCAGAAAACTATAGACCAATCAGTTTGACGACAATACCTGGGAAAACCCTAAAAAAGAAAATCAAGCAGTGGCTTGTGGGCATTTAGAGGTTAACAGGATTATCACCAGAAGCCAGCATGGATTTGTTAAAAACAGGTCATGCCGGACAAATGTATTGCTTTCTTTGACAGTGTGACCAGATTAGTGAACCAAGGGAATGCTATAGATGTAATGTATTTAAACTTTCATAAGACAGTTGATAAGTAGACCATAGCCTCTTCTTGGTAAACTGGAACAATGTGGAATGAATAGTCACATTACCAGATGGATACACAGTTTGCTGAACAACCATAACCAATGTGTGGTCCTTAATGGGTCTATGTCCACCTGGAGGGAGATATGCAGTGGGGTACCTAATGGTTCTGCCCTGAGCCCAGTATTCTTCAACACCTTCATAAACAATTTAGATGAGGGAATAGAAGGGATGCTCATAAAATGTGCAGATGATACAAAGTGGGGTGTGGGTGGGCATTGCTAACATCCTAGAAGACAGGGTCAAAATTCAAAACAAAATGCTGTTCAATGGTGAGAAATGTAAGGTTTTGCAGGATAAACCAGATAAACCAGATGCACAGCTACAAGGTTCCTGGCTTATCAGTAGTACTTGTGAGAATGATCTGGGAGTCTTGGTAGACCACAGATTAAACATGACTCAGCAATGTGTCGCAGCTGCCAATGCAGCCAATGCATCAACAAAGACATAGTGTCAAGGTTAAGGAACTGATAGTACCACTCTATGCTGCATTGGTCAAACCACACCCAGAATACTATGTTCATTTCTGGTCACCACAATACAAAAAGGACTCTGAGGAACTGGAAATAATGCAGAGAGCAGCAACAAGGGACTTGGACACTAAATCCTATGAAGAGTGATTAAAGAAACTTAATATGTTTAGCCTAAAGAAGAGAAAGCTAAGGGGAGACACGATGGCAGTTTTCCAATACATGAAGGGATGTCTCAGGGCAAAGGGTGTGGATTTGTTCTTCCTAGCACTTGAAGACAAGAACCAACGGGTGGAAGTTTAACAGAGAGAGATCCAACCTTGAAATAAGGAGTTATTTCCTGACTCAGAGCTTTGAAGCTCCTGAAGTCATGGGTGCTCCAACTCTGGAGGTTTTCAAGAAAAGATGGACAGCCATTTGTCCAGCATGATATGAGGATTCCTGCACTGGACTAGATGACCTCCAAGATTTTTATAAGCATGTTGCAGAAACACAACCACTGAGCACTCAGCCAAATTCCTCCTACCAATGGCATACTATATAAGCCAAGAAAAACAAGGAACAAGCAACTAGGTCAAGGATGGGTAAGGTGTGCACTTTCCAGATGTAATGGAACTCCAGTGCTATCAGGTACTGCCAGCTTGGTTGAATGGAACTGTGATTCAACAATATTTCCCGAAGGCTGCATCTTCTCCAACTCTTGTGACCATTGCCTAAGCATCCTCAGGCAGCAATAACTGAATTCCACCCAGCAAAGTATAATTAATAGTGCTCTGGTCAAATCACATTTATGTTTTCAATCAGAGTTTCAGACCTAGATGCAACTGTTCTGCTAAAGAGCAGTGAGAGGATTTACTGGTGGTAGCAAAGTACTGGGTCTTTACCACCATGAAAAATGCTTTAAAATGACCTATCGAAAGCTCCCACCTGTACAGAGTCATTCTGAATTTTCTACCAATCGGTTCTAGCTGTGATCCCACTGGTTTCAATATTCCCAGCTCCTGATAAATCTAGGAGCTCAACAGATCAGTGGAACAGGATATGTGGGAGTAATTGGAAGGAGAAGGAGAAAGAAGGAGGGGGAGGGGGAGGGGGAGGAATATAACCAAACATATTTTAAGTAACTTCTGTCTGTGGTAAGGCATAAAAGTAAATATATAATTCAAGGTTGCTCCAATTAACTCCTGGATTGGTTACAGATTCTGAACAGATGCTAACCTATTGCAGACTTTCCTGTAATCCGATGAGCACCAAGTTGTATTGGGCTACAACTTTTACTGTCACCAAGCATTGCACATAATCCAATACATTTGAAAGTCACCAGGTTGGAGGAAAAGTCAGATTCTAATTTTTCCCAGTGGGAAATTTCTCCCCCAATACAAATACCATCTTAACAGTAAAGATGTTCCTTACGGTTACAGTCATGTAGGAAGAAAAATAAAATCCCTCTCCACATCTACTCTGATTCCTTTAGCTACTTTCCATGGAAGTTTTATTTAGGCCCAGCAAATTCTCAGCCCCTCCTGGAAAATCTCCCTTTGATTCTTTCTCACTTCAAAAACAACTGACTTTAGAAGCTTCCATGTGGCACAGGAGGGGATCCTTCATGTCAGTTTTCTCTCTCTGAGGTTGGAGCGCTATCTCTAAGCCTAGCTCCAGTCTCAGAGGTTGAACTCTGAACATTTCCATGCTTCTTGAGTATCTTCTTTGCTTTTATGCCAGATACAGCTTTGGTTCTCAGAGCCATGTGTTCATGCTTGAGCTCCAGGTACCTTTTGTGCATAGACGATGCGAAACTTCTGCTCTATCTTGCGCCATTTAATGTACCAGCTGTCTTCTGCGGTCACGAGGGGTAGGTAAGGGTGGTCAGGGGAGCTCTCTTCACTGGTGCTACTCTCCAGGCTGTGCCGGTCCTCCTCATCACTTAGGTAATCATAACTAGAGAGATTGTGAAGTTTACTGCAAAGAAGTGACTGAAGGGGGATGGATAATTGCATGCTAGGATTTTCCATTTCCATCTCCAATTTCCAGGCAGGAGTACTATATTTTAGTGATTCTAATAAGAAAGAACAGCTTGAAGAGTTTTTACAGATTCTTCCAAAGAGTATCTTACATACCTCTCCCAACAGAGATACATGTAATCATTTCAAGTCCCAAAAATACCATTTTGAAAACTTCCATTAAAAAAAAAAAATTAACCTGCAAAAAAAAATGTTAGTACATCTCTCTACCTGTTGTCCTTTTTCTATTCACAGGGAGGTATGTTTTTTTTAATATGGAGGGGCATTCATAATACAGCTGGCACAAAATGCAGTGGCGTGAACAATCTTGAACACCCCCAGGATGGCACATATAACACCTGTTACGTGAGCTGAATTGGTTGCCAGTTTTCTTCCAAGTTTGATTCAAGGTGTTGGTTATCACCTTTAAAGCGCTTCATGGCACAGGACCAAGTCATCTGAGGAGCCGTCTCGCCCCCGTTATATCCACCCGCCCCACTTGGTCCAGCAGAAGGGGCATGTTGCAGACCCCACTAGTCAAGGGATTCCAGCTGGTGGGGTCTAGGAAGAGGGCCTTTTCTGCTGTGGCCCACACCCTGTGGAACAGCTTGCCACCTGCAGTGCAGGCAGCCCCCACTCTCCTGGCCTTCCGAAAAAGTGTAAAACCATG